AGGTTTTCAAAGTACTAACAACAACAATTTTTCTGCAAATCTAAACAACCCTCCTGGTCCTGTTGATAAAACACACCAAATGCTGGAAGTAATTTTGAAAAAAATGGAGGACAAGTTCTCCCTGGTTGATCAGAATATGAAGTTAATGCAAGAAAGGCAAACAGCCCAGGATACCTTGTTGAGTAATTTGCAGGCCCAAATTAACAACAGGTTACCTGCTCAACCATTTCCTGCTCCTAAGGAAAATGTGAGTGTTGTTGTCCTTAGGAATAACAAAGTTCTTCCTGAACCTTCCTTAGGGAATGTTAGAAGGGATCAGGAAATTATGGAAAAGGAACTTGACTCACAGAAAATCCAAGGCCCTGGATTGGTCAACAATAAATCTGTTTTGACTCCTGACACTCCTAGGGCAATTTACAAACCTCAGCCACCTTTCCCCAGTAAATATCAGAGTCAAAGGAAGAACAGTAAAGAACCAGATGATGAAATATTTGAAATGTTTAAAAAGGTTCAAGTGAACATTCCTCTTTTAAATGCAATAAAAAATGTTCCAAAATATGCAAAATTTTTGAAAGAGATGTGCACTAATAAAAGAAGGCTGAAAGGGGATGAGAGGGTGAACATTAGTGAAAATGTATCTGCAATCTTTCAAAAGAAACTTCCACAGAAATGTCAGGATCCTGGTGTGTTTTCTGTGCCTTGTAAGATTGGGAATTTGGAGAATACCAAGGCTTTACTTGATTTAGGAGCATCCATCAATGTCATGCCTAGGGAGTTATTTGACCAGTTGGGGGTAGGAGAACTAAAAGAGACTGGGGTAGTTATTCAACTTGCTGACAGGAGTTTGACTTACCCTGAAGGGGTGGTTGAGGATGTTTTAGTCCAGGTCAATGACTTGCTCTTTCCTGCTGACTTTTATGTCCTTAACATGGGAAAGGATTATTCAGGCATCCCTCTCCTTCTGGGCAGACCATTTTTGAAAACTGCTAAGGCCAAAATTGATGTTGATGCAGGAACTTTGTCCTTAGAATTTGAAAATGAAGTTATTAAGTTTAACATTTTTGAAGCAATGAAGTTTCCTGATCAACTCAATCAAGTTTTTACATTAGACATCATTGATGAAATGGCACAAGATGTTTTTCAATTATCAAATCAGGATGAGCTTTTGAGTGTGGTGTCCAATAGTCTGGATCCTGAATCCTTGAAA